GAGTTGATAATGTAAATAAACACAACACCTTCAAGAAAATCAACACAACATCTCTTCCAAGGATATATAGAGAGAGAGAGTTGATAATGTACCACAATGGAGTGTCCCTTCCGTCGGTGTGAACGTTCTTTTTGCTGGTGTTGCTGCTGATGTTTTCTTTCCTTCGATGCTACTGCTGGTCTATGCACACCGACGGTTGTCGGTGCTGCTGCTGCTTTATGCACGCCGACTATTTTCCAAGTTGATAATGTATTGATCTTATTCTATTCTCGGGTATTCTTGGTCCCCTTTTTTTTGATTTTTTTGGATTGAAATTGAAAGAGAGATGGAACGTCATTGTTGTTTACCCAAGTAAAAGAAAAAGAAAAAAAGAAAAAAATTGCACTCTGTTGGTCATAGTCAAAACGATGAACCATTTAAAATAAAATACAATAGATGACCAAATAATTTGTCAAATTTTGTGGCCAGAAAACTTTGTTCTACATTGAACAACCTAGATTCAACAAATCCCTAATTTATAAATTACAACATTTGTACCTTTTCAAAACCCTAGTTTCAGCGATCCCTAATTTATAAATTGAAACTCCGAAATCTGAAATGAAAACCACCATTTATGCAATACAAACCTTAATATGGATGTTTGCTGAAGGTCTTCCTCCTTTTGGCGGTGGTGTCACGTTGCCCGTTCTTCGTTCTTCGTACAGCTCTCACGGTGGCCTTCGTCTTCTTCGCCTCCTTCGTGGTGCTCTTCGCGTGTCTCTCTTCTTGGCCTCCTTCGCGGTGCTATTCAACAATTTTGAATGCAAAATGTGTGTGTGTGTGTGTGTTTCAGACTGTTGTTGGACCAGCTGAGTTTTAAGCCAAAACAAAATGACAAAAAATAAAAAAATAAAAAAAAATAAACTGAAAACGGTTTTACAAAAATCGTATTACAAAACGGGTTTTATAAAACCGTTTTATAAAAAGGTTTTCGAAACACCGTTTAATTTTTTTAAATTAATATTGGCAACCAATATTTATGCTGAAAATATAAATGGCAAAAACAAAAAATTTACTAAAAACGTTTTTAGTAAAACCGCTTTTAATTAACTCAAATTTAATTATACCTTACGTAAAAACGGCTTTTCATTGAGCTATTTTTTTATACCTTAACTCAAATTCAAAAGCCGTTTTCATTGAGCTATTTTTTTAATTTTTTATTCACTAAATACGACATGGGTAAAGCCGTGTTCTGAAATACGACTTTGCTAAAGCCGTTTTACCTTATAATGGGAACAAAGAAAAAAACGCACCTTAGACTGGGACTAAAATTTTGAAAATGGCATAATCAAGGAAATTGGCCCACAATTCTGCTCTCTCTTTCTCTCCCTACCTAGCACACACAACACATCGCATCACTTACCTCACTTTGTAATTAAAAAACAAAATATATTTTATTTTATTTTAATAAAATACATATTATTTTAAGAATAAATTACACTTGTACTTTTGAGATTTGACTTTAATACATATTATTTATTTTTTAAAATAATAATACATATTATTTATTGATGTGTAAAAAATTACACTAAATCTCTTGTCATTATAATTATTTAGATAGAAAGAGAAAACAAAGTAATTTTTGTGATTCGAGGGGCCTCCAAGAGTTGCAACGCCATAGCCATGGTTGATTGTGAGGAAAATTAGTTTTTGGTGGGTGAGTTTGACATATAAATTAGTGAAATGGCATTAGGAAAGCCGTCTTTTGGAAACCGGCTTTTCAAAAGTCATGTTTTACAATTAAAATAAAAATAAAAATTGTACATAGAAAATTGGCTTTTCAAAAGCCAGTTTTAATTAAGTTTTAACTAATTCCTAATTAATTAAAAACAGTTTTTTAAAAACGTTTTTACAATAAAAAAATTTTAAAATTTATTTTCAACACAAATTTTTTTTACCAAAAAAATGTTTTATACAAAAAACATTAGCACTTGAAAGGAAAAGCACGTTGAAACACTCCAACGCCCACTTACGAAGAAGACGAAGACGCGAAGAGCACCAGCTGTTGTCCCACCGAGATCAACAAAAAACAAAGAAGACCACTGTGACCAACAGCTGCTGCTATCCCACCCACTATCACACCATAGCTGTCCCTCCTCTATCACGTCGGAGCTTTGCACATCTCGCTCCCATCATCCAGATTCAAGTTTGTTTTGTAGAAATTATGGTTTAAATTTTTGATTTGGGGATTTTCAACTTCAAAATTAAGGTTTTTAAAATTAGGATTTTGATTTTGATGGAGAATATGTTTACCTAACATCGATAAACAATTTGATAACTATAGAATGAGATGATGAACATTAACAGTGCAATATGATAATGCGAAGAAAACGAATGCCACCATAAAAATGAAGACTACCGCCAATAAGACCAGCAAACATCATCGCACCTCTCCCTCTCATCGTCCACATTGAGGTTTGTTTTGCATAAATTAGGGTTTTAATTTTTGATTTGAGATTTTCAATTTCAAAACTAGTGATTTTAAAAATTAGGGTTTTGATTTTGATTATGTAAGAATAGGTAAGAATTTTCTTATTGCTAATGTGAAGGCCAGACGACGGCCAGTGCATTTGAAATGTTGTTTACCACGCCTAACACGTTTTTGTTTTTGTTTCATGAGTGAACACGATTTTGTTGGCCATATCTATGCACACAATTTTTTTTCTACCGAGCATGAAGGCACCATGGAGCCCCCATTTTCAGTTTTATTTTATTTTTTATTATACATATGTATATTTTATTAAAAAAAATAAAAATCCCCCTCTTAGCTTTTTAGTTTATCAAAGAAAAGATGTACAGACTCAAAAGACGTTTTGGTAACATGTTTTAGTGTCATTTTGTCAAACTAATAATTTTATGATATTTTTTTTTTAATCATATTTTGTATTTCATTTTAGGGTAAATGATGCAAATAGTCCCTGTAGTTTACACAATATGTCAATTTGGTTCTTGTAGTTTCAATTTTCTCGATTTTGCCCCTTAATTTAACCAATTGTATCATTTTAGTCCAATAAATAACAGTTGTTAAGTTAATTTAACCAAAGGTCAAACAAAGTGTCAATTTAGTCCCTGTAGTTTACACGATGTGTCAATTTGATCACTGTAGTTTCAATTTTCTCGATTTTGACAATGACTTAATTGACACATTGTGAAAAATACAGGAACCAAATTGACACATTGTTTGACTTTTCGTTAAATTAACTTAACAACCATTATTTATTGGACTAAAATGACTCAATCCGTTAAATTAAGAGGTAAAATCAAGCAAATTGAAATTACAGAGACCAAATTGACATATCGTGTAAACTACAGGAATTACTTACATAATTTTCCCTTCATTTTAAATGGTTGTCATCATTTTATTGATTTAATAAGTCCTACCACACAAGCAGGTTACATATTGTGGGCAGCACGGATAGAGAGTCAGTTATCTTTTTTTTTTCTTTTTATTTTTTTTTTATCGAAAGAGAAATCCATTAAAGATGAGCTAAAACAGCACTTACAAAAGAGTCCATGCTTACAAGTAGAGCTTACCCTAATCAAAGGAAAAATGAGCAGATAAATACATAAGCAAAGTTAAAAATAGTATCAAAGACATGATCATACATGATCCTAACCCGTACTGCAAAGCAGAAGCGATCATAAGAGATCAACACTAGGGCTAGTCGGAGATACCACAAAAGCTTCACTCCAGAGAGGGTAAGCTAACAGATCACACCCATGGAACTCAAACACATAGAAAAACAGAAATAAAATTAAAAAAAAAAAGCTAAAAAAAGAAAACCAAAGCTGAGATCTGAGGAAGAATCAGATCTGGTGAAAGGAAGGCCACGGCGTGGTGGTGGTGGTGTCGGCAGTGAGAAGAGGCGATAGGCGACAGACCCGTTGTATCGTGGGTGTGACGGCACGGAACAGTGGGAGGCAGCAGAGACATGGCAGATCGAGCTCCAGTTAAGAGGTAGAGGAGGAGAAAATGCAAAAAAATTTCCACCCTAGGGGAAAGAAGAACCTCACAAGAAGGGAGAGAGTGGGAAGAAGTCTCCCAAGAGTTATTTTGCAGAAAATAAAAGAAAGAGGGAGAAGAGGAGAGAGGCAGCCCGAGAGAGGCCAGAGCCCCCCCTCCAAAAGCAGCAGCCCAAATGGAAACCCTAGGAGAGAAAGCTAGAGAGAGAAACTGTGGGTCTCAGTGTTGGGTAGTTGATTTGTTAGATATGGCCTACTTGAAATCTTTATATTAAAAGGAAAATTGTATTAAAATTTAGTTTCAAATCAATTTTAAATGATTTTCAAATTTTAAAATAGCATCAAATTCCATTTTGATCATAATAAAGTTAAAAAGTGAAATTAAATTTCTTGCGTTCATATTTTGTTAAGGCAGAATAATTTTTGTTTTTTCATGAAGAAACTTAGTGTATAATCTTACACTTTTAACTCTTGTATGTTTGACTCATATTTCACTTTTATCCCTATTGTTTTAAATTGAACAATTTGGTCCATGCAATCCAGTTACAATTTAGTCATTCCGTCCACATGTTCGTTTATTTTTTCTATGTGTACACTTTAAGAGACTAACAAATGTTTCAAAAATTGTTAACTTAACCTCCAAGTTTTCTTACAGTAATATTTATGATTTATAGTATAAAATTTCCCCCAACATAACAAAGCAAATGAGAGTGATGGAGTGAGTAGCAAAGCACTGGGCAACAACCGCTAAATTTTTTCATAAAGGAATTTGAATATCATGATAGGTTGCACTTGCTTCTAAATTTTATCTTTTTTGAACTTATTTGAACTATTTTTATCTCATAAGTTATAAATAGAAACTGCACCAAACACAAATCCTAACTATCGCAACAAGAAGTGTGGGACTATTAGAGAATATAAATTAAGATAACTTGTGATTTACTTCTTTATCTTTACAAATTTGATTTGACATTAAACACATTATAATAATAATATAGCATAGAGAATGAAAGCAACCCCACCACAAGAAATTCCACAATCTAATCGACTAGTCCACACTATTACAATTGTCAACTATTCAACACTAGTCTAAAAGCAAAATCATTGACACTGACAGAATTGCTTAAACAAATCAAACGACGTTGACAAATACATTAAAGTAATTGACAAATTTATCAACAAAGCATTTGATACCTAAACTTTGTAAACTCTCATGCAACTTCATTCGGATATTAGACCTTTAAAACAGTGACTTCAGTTCACAGTCGCAGATGAACCTGTTCCGGAAGCTCGTAACCCAGTTGAGATTTTACCTTAATTAAAGGCGAAACTCTACATTACAATGGAACAAAGAAATCAATTTCAAAAAATTAAATTATATCCCATTGGATGTAATTCTCCCAACAACACAACATTTTTTATTTAATTTTTTACCAAAAAAACAAAAACAAAAACAAAAACAAAACATAGTCATTGCTCAACAGTTTTCAAAAAAATTTATTTATGAAAACACTTCACAACCACAACCAGAGTCAGCTAAAAGGACCAGATATAAAGCAGGAAAGTACTAATTAGCTACTCTAATGGCTAATTCTTGGCAGAGACTGCAACAAAATTGGTATTACAAAAAAAAAAAAAGCAAAAGAACAAAAATGAAGTATGAGAGCAGTGAAACCCTAAATCACCAATCACAAAATTCTTACCTATTCCTACACAATCAAAATCAAAACCCTAATTTCAACAATCACGAATTTTTAAATTGAAAATCCCAAATCAAAAAATAAAACCCTAATTTATGCAAAACAAACCTCAATGTGGATGATGGAAGGGAGAGGTGTGAGGGTGTTTGTTGGTCTTCGTCTTCTTCGTTTTTGCGGTGGTCTCGTGGTGGCCTTCATCTTCTTCGCTTTTCTTCGCGATGGTCTTCCTTCCTGTGCCTTGTTCGTTGTCTGATAGAAGTGAAGTGTTTAGCGTTAGAGCAAACAAAAACCTGGGGAGATCACTTAAACCCAAAATCAAACGAAGAAAAAATTTTTTTTGTGAATATGGCTTTGCTAAAGTCGTTTTATAAACCGGATTTTCTAAAATAAAACACCGTTTTTAGCCTTGACGTGGGTTTATTTTTTGGCTTTTTTAGCTATTTTAACTTGGGTTAAAAAGCTTAGGTCAAGTTTGACATGTCCAGGAAAAGTCAAAAAGTCAAAAAGTTACTCAAAAAGTTAAAAAGTTAACACTATTAACCAAAAGTCAACAATTACAGCTGCACAACTCTCAATCTTAATTTTCTCCTACAAACCAATTTTTACAATTTTTTATTACACATTTTTTCATAAAAAGTCAAAAAGTTAACCCAAACATCTATATTTTCTTCCTCAATTTTTTAGCCCAAAAAGACAAAAAGTGCACTTATTTAGGACACTCCAAACAACCCCTTAGTTCAGGAAGGGTCTTTTGGCTTTTTGACTTTTTTGTGAGAGAAGAATATAATAATTATGTGTTAGATGTGATGTTTTGTTTGTTGTAACTAAAATAGTTTATTTTATCTTTTGTGACTATTTTAGTCACAAACTAACTTGCCAAACAATGTTTTAGTATCGAAAATATTTTTGATAAATAAATATTTATGTTGAAAATACAAATAAATAAATAAATAAAAATTTAGGGGTTGTTTGGGATGACCTAAATAAGTGCACTTTTTATTTTTTTACGAAAAAACATGTAGAAAAGTAGAGAGTCAATGTGATGAAAAAAAGATAATAAGATAAAAAGATGGATTATATTGGAATTGTCAAACTTGGTCTTAGTGTAAAAAGGGTTTTACAAAAAGTATTTTTAATTAATTAAAATTAATCAAAATTGACTTTTGAAATGTCAATTTTCTGTGTAAGATTTTTATTATTATTTTAATTGTATAAACACGGCTTTTGAAAAGCTGATTTCTAGAACACAACTTTCATAATAGGGCTGCAAACGAACCGAGCTGTTCATGAACAAGTTCGAGTTTGGCTCATTAAGGCTCGTTCGAACTCGACTCGATTAATAAACGAGCCGAGCTCGAGCTTAAATCTCAAGCTCGATTAATAAACGAACCGAGCTCGAGCTTACTATTGCTCGACTCGAATAGGCTCGCGAGCTCAAAATATAAATATTAATTTATACTTTTATATTTTAAATATATTATATATATATAATATATATATATATTATACATATCAAAAACTTTGAACTTTTTATTTTTTATTTTTATAATATTTTATGTTATATATATATATATATATATATTATATTGTATGTTTAATATATTTTATGTTCAATATATTTATATATTATATTGTCCTCAGAATTTGGCTGCCACTACCGTTGCCAACAGCTCCATTTATAAGCAGTGAACCTTAGCATGCTTCTTCCTTTGAGCGATGTGGGACTTTTGGTGCACTTGACAAAACGACGCCATTTGATAAGTAATGTTTCAAACAATTGGGAGTCCCACATCGTTTACATATGTATTTTGATATTGAGGCCAACCACTACACGTTGAAGTCGTGTATGGAGACAGTGGCCGCGGTCACTAACCTGTCTCACCGTCTACAAAACAAGTCGTGTGAGGTACATCGGGTTAACGCCCAACTCACTTTGCTTCAACATATGTATAGGGATGCGCGAGCGGAGATTTGCGCACTGAAGGCAGAGAACAAGGAATTGAAACGGAAGGCTACCTCCATGGAGAATAAAGAGGTAAAACGACAGGCCACTTGTATGGCTCAGTTTGCAGCACCGTCGTATTTTGCCTTTGATGGTCGGCGAAGAGTTAACTCTCTTGGTGAAAACACTGAGGCAGGGCCTTCTCTTGAGGCAGGGCCTTCGAAGGTCTCCCTGAGTGAAATTGAGATGAAGAAAACGACGAGAGAGTCAAGCAAATGAGGTCGGTGTATGGCCGTTTGCCGGAGGAGAAAGAAGAACAAGATCCCTCTTTTTTTTTCTTTTTTTCTTTTTATATATATATATATATTTTTTTTGGGTCTTGTTTTTTATATATTTTATTTTATTTTATTTTGGAGTCTCTGTAATCGGGGATGTCCTCCCCAGACTGCAATAAAATCAGTTTAGGTTCTGTACATCAATGGCTTGACTGGCACATCACTCTGAATTTGAAAATAATTTTGTTTGATTTGAATTTGAGAATGATTGAATTTGAACTCTGAATTGGATATTGATTCCATACTGACCTGAATCACAAAATAACTTAATGAAAGAAAAACGAAGCAAAACAATCCAAACACATCTATATACACTAACTAGTATGAATACCCTGACCGGTATGAATACACTGACTAGGTGACTCGAGTGGGAGAGAAGATAGAATCACTGACTCAACTATGCCCCTAATTCATTGCCTTGATTTTTATTTATTTATTTTTATTTTATTTTATTTTTTTCGGTAAAGAAAACTTGAACCAATAGTCTCAGATAATCTAGAGTCACAGACAAGTTAAATGCAAACTAGAGACTTCTAATTCACATGATTTGCATACGAGATCTACTTGAGTTTGACCTTTTAGCAGTAAAGCTACACTCAGAGGTGTTTCTAATTGTTCAAGCTCTAATCCCAAGATTCACACAGTTATAGTAGAGAAGAAAGAGTATGACATGGCTACGACAATAGCATAACTAGCATAGGAATTCAAATGGAATTTGAACAGACAGTACAGTCGAATGACATGATGGTTTTGAACTTTTAACAGGGTTAAGATTATGGAGCTGGTGACCAAACTAGATATTTGAATTGAAATTGTGTCTGGCCATACACATTTCAAACCAAACACCTAAAATTCTTCACCCTGTAAGGATTAAAAGAGTGCAACCGGTTTTCAAGAGAACAACATACAAGATACAATAAACATCGCTCAAAAATTGCCAATTGATCATCTTAAGGCAATACTTTGTCGAATTGGAAAGGTTCAATGAAGATAGAGAAGTGGCCCTATTTCCTAGTGCGGTTTTACCCTCTAGTGAAAAAAAGAAAGAAGATAAAAACACATCTTACAATGAGAATAAAGTTGCCCCAACATCAGATTCAGAGAAATCAGCCACGGAAAATTATAATGTGTGTTATGTGGGTCTTGGTGAGTGTGTCCATGTGTTGTGAGATGAGAGAGATTTAAGAGTAACTGTAACGCCCCAATTTTATTTTATTTTTATTTTTTTTGTAAATCATAAGATTTAAATAACAATAACTTGCTAGATAAAGTTTTAACTACTAATTAGGAACTTTTAAGTTCTTACAAAGCCAACGTCCAACGACAAAATAAAACTACAAGTTCACACACAACGTCACAACATAGTTAAATCCTAATACAAGGGATAACAGGATTTTATTTTGATAAAATCTTGACTCTAAGTCAGCCAAGGTTCGATATTGGCAGCAGCTCCAATTTCAGCCTCAATCCCTTCTTCGACATAATCTGGCATGAAACGCCAGGGCAACAAAATATATGCCATGAGTTTTGCAACACAGTAAGAAAACGTAACCAACCTACCATTCTTTTTAAGAGAAAAATAATAATATTCTAAACATGAGATAACAATATAATTATACACAGAAATTACAACCATTAGAATAATTTCAGTAATTTTAATAAATCAGGTGACACTCGAAATCTCACCAAAGAGATTTAACTTACCAACCACTAAGCATAGCAACGGTTAATTTGAAACCCTCCCTTAGTCAAATATTTAAGTGTTACCAACCGTAACTACCAGGGATGCCCACGTCCGGGGTTATATACCCAAGTAGTGGCATCCGTGGTCTGCCCTAAGGAAACGGTCTGCCAGGGGTAAGCAACCTCCCTGTGTGCCACCTGCACATCCACCCTTATTCCAAAACCGAATACCGAAAAGGGTTCAAATAAGTCCCGTGCCATCTTAGAGTTTCGCAACACAATTTACGTGAGAATTCTCAAAACCAGGGCCCACCCTGAACAACCGGTATTAACCGTCAATCCCTTGATTTCATACACTCTTTAAAACCAAGACTCACTCTGAACACTGGTATTAACCGTCAATTGTTAACTTTGTATGTGCCTTTAATCCTTTCAGTTAATTTTGATATTAATCACAAATAATTCCAAATTTTTAATCACAAGTAATGTTATACCAACTCATTAAAATTCCCAATCATAAAATATTCCATGTGTCACACAATACTAAATAAAAGTACAGAATTTAAATAAACAATTTATTTAAACCATGGTATGAAATAATAACTTAGAGACAAGAATTAAACCCTAAATATACACATGCACAAATTTTTTTTGATTTACAAAATTAGACTAGCATACTATTAAAGTGGTGATTTATTCTGTCCAGAAAAATTTTCAGAGTATATATCTTGCAAATAAAATTATAAATACATTACTTATACAATTCTAAATCTACAGGATACTCAATAAACATGTTATGGTTATTTTTCAGAAAGTTTTTTCCAAAAATAACTTATAAATAATTCTAAACAAATTCCAAGGGTGTTTATGACACAGATTTGTCACATTTCCTTACATTAATTCCATGCTTAAATTTATAGATCAAACCCATAATCTAAAAATTTATCATGAAACTAGACTTCTCAAATTTCATCTTTTAGTTAGAAATTACCAGATTTGGCTTAGTGACCGGATTTGGTTTAATATAGGATTTTTAATGATTTTTCAAACATGCACTAAAATCTGTCTATAGTTTCAGATTTGATTAAAATTTTGCATAAATTCGTACAAATCTATAATAATTGTTACAAACATTCCTGGATGAACTAGACATCATTTTTAACAACTTTGTAGAAGAAATCATCTCAAATTTTTGAATATAAAATTGTCTAAAAATTCATACAGGTTTCTGGCAGATTTAAGAGTCATATAACCAAATCAAATAAAATCTTTAATCATCTCTTTAATGGCACAAACTATACATGCAAGTCTAATTTCACCATGATTTTAAGGCTACTAATAACTTTCAAATATTTGATATACAAATCACAAAATTTA